TTGCTGCTGCTGTTGTTGTTGCTGGCCAGCAGTCATCATTCCCATGACGGGTCCTTGCCCCAGTGACGCCATTGTATTTAAATTCATCATTGCACCGGGGCCAAGCTCAGGCCTTGGACCGAAATACGGCTGTCCTACAAGGCCTCCATGTGGCACAAAATGGGGACCCGGTGGATATTCCATGGCATTGCGCGGCACACAACCTGCAAAATTCGAATATTCAGTGCCACCAAGTGGCATATGCCACCACTAAAACTGCGCAGCACAAAAAAAAGCAAAAAGAGCGACAATTTTTTTTTGTAAATTTTTTTTGCTTGAATGGCAGGTGCAGATGAAAACACATTATTTTATAACGCTAACTCACTACATGCCCAGCAGTTCATGGGTCGCCCATCGTTCAACTGTACTTCTTCTGAGACTTCTAAGAAACTAATATTTAAGCAACAAGTTGAATGACACAGTAGATCTGAAATCAGTGAAAACAACTATTTCTATTTCCAGTTTGTAGTTTCAAGTTCAAACCCAACTATTTTTTTTTATTTATAATTGGGGAATAATGAAGATTACAAAGCAGTTCAGTGATACTGACCAGCGAACAGGCCTTCAGGGAACGCTTAAAGCGACTTTTGTTCAAAAAATGATTTCAGCTAACTACGGTGGCTCCCTATTCACCTAAGTTTTTGCGTCTACTTTTATAGTCTCAACTTATTATCGTATAATTTACACTGACTGATTAACTGAAAAATACCTGGTGGTACCATCATCTGAGGTCCTGACGGCTGTGGATAACATGAATTTCCATAGCCGGCTGGGGCAGGCATCATTTGTGGCGGTGTGCAACCTAAAATAACTTGACAAAGATAGAAAATATTTAAAAAAAATGCATCTTGAAATTACAATTGCAAATTAACGAAGAAAAATCATGGTTCAAATACGTAGTAACGGAACACCTCATTAATTAAGTCAAATAAATCGGAATTTCAGGCGGCAACAAGTTAATAGAAATCAAAACGGACCGAGAATGATTAAAAGCCCAAAAAATCGGGGTTTTTTGCTGAAAAATTTTACTTAAAACCCCTATCTGAACACCTCCTTCTTGTGATTATCGTCCGTACCTTTTCTTCGCCTTCGTACTGTCTCCATCCTCCAAGAAAAAAAGGGAGGAAGGGGAGACCCTTTTTCTCCAATACTCAAAAAGATTATTTCGAAAGATTCAAAACACCCTAATCTCACGTGTATCTCTGAATCGTCTTAAATTTTATCTTTTCAGCCTTGATGGAGTTAAATAAATAGTCTTACTAAGATCAGAGCGGTTTAACAAAAATTAGCTCCAGCACCAGATGGCACCGTTTTCCCGATCCGATACAATGGTACTGGGTTCATACTCATGTGGATTCGATTGCGCTAAGCCAGGACCGCTCCTTGTATACCCCCTACCTATCATGGATTCTTCGGCTTCTTTGATAATCCCCTAGTATGCGGACTGGACACTGGTATCATATTGTCTTGCTCAGCCTAGCTGAAAGAGTTCTAAATCCTGTTTCAGCGCATACTGAAGTTAATGTTACCTCCAGGATGCTGTTGCTGCTGCTGCGGTTGTTGCTGCTGTTGCTGATTCGCAAATGCCCTTGAATTCTCCATTTGCATAGCGTTTGGAGCAAACATGGGGCCTGGCCGTGGTCCTGGAGCTCCAGGATGCAGAGGCATGAAACCGGGTACAGGCTGACCGGCACGAGAATTCGCCAGATTCTTGTTTGCTGCAGCACATGCCCGATATGCTGATTCCGGATACGGAACACGAAGATGCCTAAGAACAATGATTATTCCGTCAAAAAAGCATTTTGGAAATTTTTTAAGCATAATTCTGAAAATTCAGTACGAAAGGCCCAAAACGATATGTCTGGCCCTGCTAGTAAGATAACGAATCCTTGTAAAACTCGTTCATTCATTTCGATGGTAAACTGGTACTGTCATATGTTAAGAAGATAAACCCACCAGTGAATCGGCTTTAAGTAATCCTCGAACGAGTGAGCTACTGACAGCACTGCATTTTAAACCACTAAAGCTATTTCCCATGCCTACATTTTTCAGAGAAAGCAAACACGGAGGGGCCTTTGACTTTTGACTTTGACATCTACAATTTACTGAAAAGTAAACATTGGTGTTTATAAGTTTTGTATGAAATAATAGAAG